GTGGAGTGGCCGCCCCCGTTGGCTGGATGCCTCCGGCCCTCCGCCTTCTTTCCTCCCCTAAAAGATGAAAGAACATGAACGGCAACAACGATAATTTTCAGCCAAGGCACCATAATAATTAAAATGATTACGACCTGGCGATTCCCGCTTTCTGGAGATCTCGGACTCCCGCTCTCGGCCGTTCCTCTTTCTTCTTCCTTCCTTTCCGCCGAATGGGATCCCGCCGCTCGATCTCGTGCCGACAACTAACTTGCGGGCTCATCTCGAACTTACATTTTCGCTAATTATTACAACCAAAAGTCAGATCTCGTCGATCTGACGATCGGGCCGCTCTCTCCCTAAATTAGGAGGACGCAGGCCCCCGAAAAACCGCCCCCGATCGGGCCAATTGGCCCTTGTGACGGACGTCCCAAAAACGTCACGTCACAGTATATGTGTGCGTATGTGTGTTTGTTTGTTCGCGGGTCTTACAATCGTACGGAGGACATCAGTCAGAATAATGGGGCAAGATTCTATTATTAATATTGAATTTCTGACTGGTTATTACAAAATATCTGTCAGAAAAAAGAAAAAAAACAATTTATGTGAGTGAGAGTGTGTAGCAATATTAGAAGTTTAATTTCATAATTCTATGATTGGTATGATAACTCGTCATCGACATCCGGGAGTTCATTGCAGAACTCTTCCAGTGCTCTCTCGAATTCGTCGGATTCAAGAGGGGAAAAAGGAGGGGGTGGAAATTGATAGAAGGATTCGTCCTCCAAATCAGGGAGTTCGTCGCAGAAATCCTGCAATGGCTTCTCGAACTCGCCTAATTCGGAAGGGGGAGAAGGAGGGGGTTAATTATCAAGGTTGATCGTTGACAACGAGGAGAACAGGAGTTATTGGAAACTTACTTTTATTGCTGAATTTCGATTGGTAGATTGATTGTTGACTAAACTTGACGTCTTTCGCTAGGATGTACTGGTGTGCGGCTGCCGGGTTGCCCTGGAGACGATGCCAAGACGAGGGCACTGATTTTAAATTGGTCACTCTTTTCTTTTCTGATCACGATTTTTATTCTTTATGCGTGCACACGAGACTGATTGCCCAAAACTGCTCGAAAATGAAAAAATGAGTCCTCGAGTCTTACGAGTTCTTTCTTTTATAATTCCCTTTTTGAGGGCGTCTTTTAATTTTTAGAGTGGGATCTTTCAAAAACTTTAACGAAATGAAATTATGCAAAAGTAGGGATTCTTTAAGATTTTAACGAATTAGAATCGTGCCAGTGTCCTCATTTGGCAGGGGGTGTCTCCTATTTTCATATTTTTACCCGTGCTGATCGTCGGTTGGTGAGTTCAATATTAGTTCAAAAGTTCCTTAAACATTAGCCTTTCCGGGGGACCCCCGCGCACATGATCTGATTAAAAAAGGGTCTTACTTTCTTATAATTATTTTTGTCAACGTTGATGCAGCTGTGTTTATTAAATCTTTCGTCAAGGAGATTTTATCGTTATTTGTCCAGTTGTACTTGTCCGTTAGAAAATTATTATCAGTATTAATGCAGCTGCGTTTATTAAACATTTCGTTAAAAGTTCTTGTTATCTCCTTGTTCTTCCGCCGGAAATTCTACTGCAAGGTAGCTATTATTGGTAAATGTTCAGATTAACTTACACCTCACGGATTGTTTTCATTTTCACATATATTATAGAGGGCACATTCCTAAGTAATACGCACTTTGAATTTTGTGGCGCTCTCTTCTGGTTCCAGAGATATGCAATTTTAAAGTTTCACAATTTTAATGCCTTTTCTGTTATAAAATAAGAAAAACTAAAGTTTGTTTACGTTGTATTTGTGTAAAGCAGACGTGGAAAAAGTGTTTGTTTACATTTCTGGAAACGAAGCTCCTTGAATTTTTCCATTTTCCACGCGAAGAGAGGTTTGCGTTGAACAATCAACGCAAATCTATGTGTTTAGTTTTTTAATAATGGAGCCCCCCCGCAGGAGGGGGGGCGGAACATACTGTCTCCACGCATATATTTTTTAATGCGTAAATATGAAATGGAAAGTTGTAAACCCATGTGAAATCTTATTTTGCATTAAAAAGTATATGCATGAGACAGTATGTTCCGTCCCCCCTGCGAGGGGGTTCCACTATCAAAAACTAGACACATAGGTTTGCGTTGAACCTCGCTTTGTGTGGAATAGCAATTGTGGGAAAGTATAATATATAATTTTTTATATCTTATTAAATGATATTTATTTTATAAATCATTTGTTAAAGGATATACATCTGCCATTTTCTTAGCAAAAATATACTGACAGTGACGCAAATGTAAACAAAAAAACATAAACACGCAAGTAAGATATAGTGAAAAGATCATAGAAATAAATGCGAAAATTATGATA